TAACGCGAATGAGAACACTTTGTAGAACTGTAGAACACTCTGGATATGAAAACTTCACTTGTGAAACCTTGCTTGTCTTAGGATAAATTAGTTATGTGATGCTCAGTTTTGAATATATGGTATCTCGGCCCATAGTAAAATATCTAGATCTCACTAAGGATACCTAAGATATCTAAGACCTCTCAAAGCATATGATGTTATTCCCTATTATTTAAACCAGTTCACATCTTATTTGTGGTTTAACTAACCTGATATGTAACAGTTATGTTAGATCAGCTATGGAAATGTAAGTTAAACCATAATAATAAGGAACTTCCATATATATTTTTGGTATCATATAGAAGACATGACAGAACTAGAACAAGGCTTTATAACATGCAAAATGTCATCACACTCTATTTGTTACAGACACTGACCACCAAACACCAACCGCAAAACACTATCCATAAAAAAGGTGGAGACTATTAACAATTTTGGTAGTCTGATGGTGACATAAAAATCTGATCAAACATTATTTTATAAAAACACTCATCTAAAAGTCTAAGCCATGTAAGGACTGAAGGAGTATTTAAGTTATCAAAGATCACATTTAATTTTTTTCATGTAACATTGCAGCCATTTTGAAGATGTCCAAATTAAATTTCTTCACAAGTGTGGGCCATATTCCAATATATCATCTACAGGGTTGTCATTTTAAGAAATAACAAAAATACTTAAGGAATAGAGACCAAGATTTTATGATTCATGGCGTAATATATGACCGAAAGTTTTATTCTGTTCATTGTCAAGAGACCAAAGTCACAGAGCGATTGAGGTATTTGGCAATGGACAGAATAAAATTTGAGGTCATATATTTCTTATATATCATAAAATTGAGGTCTTTGTTACGATTCTAATATGATAATAAACAGAGACAAGAAACACAACTATTTGCAATTATGAATTTTAGTGGTAATACATACTCAAATATCAAATTTTGCTTCATAGCATAAGTTTAGGCTTTAAAAAGCTGATTTTTCTTTCCTATTTATGAATTTATTAATATAAAGATATTTGAGTCATTAAAGTTACATGGTGCTCTACTAAATTGTTAAATAAGTGAGAATAAAGAAATAAAGACCTCAGAGCAGGGGTAATACACCCCGCAGGGCTAGGCACAAACGTTTTCTGTATCCCGAACGACCGAGTGGAAGGGAGTGAGTGGTTCGAAAGCTTTTTTACCCAGCCCTAAGCTGCTAAGTGGTGTATTCGACGATATTACCCCTGCTCTAAGGTCTATATTACGATTTGAACATGAAAACTCACCAAAATGTTTTGAATATTCATGATTATGGTCCGCCATTACAACGATCCGCCATTATGACATCACACATTACAGGTATTACAAGGGGAATTCTTCACGATATTCCCCGGGTAAAATGTTGACTTTGTTTACAGTTTATAGAAGGCGTGAAAACAGTCATGTTCGAATTACTATCATGTTGTGAGGCATCACCATACAAAATATGAACCAAATCTGGCAACTGGTAGTTTATGGTGGCCATTCTACATCGCTCTCAAACCTTGTCGATGGGATAATATAATAAGATTCAACAGCATCATTTCAATATTTTTTCAAAGTTTTTGCACTGAACATCTGCAGTCCTGAAGGAGTTATCCCAGAACAAAGTGTAGCACTCATCCTGCTTTTCAGTCTTCACAACCCTCAAAAGTGAACGTCTGGATTTATTTTGTATGTTGCAGGACTAACATTGTAAAAGGTCCATGTGCAGTATGGCAAGTGATTTTAGACAGTCATATCTTTCACCATAAGTACCCCATGATAGTAAAATAGCAATCCAACTCTCTGAAAAACTATGGATTAGGACTCCACCTTGTCACTTTTTCAAAAATGTAAGGCTTTTTTTCTAAAACGAGAATCTTGTTTTTCTCAATTTATATATACCAAAAGTATCTTCTGCTCTATATTAACAAGTTGAGCCAAACATGAGTAATATACCATCCGGTGTTACTGCCTTACGCATTTTCACAAAGGTTGAACATGGTATTGTGACAATACCTCTGATGAATTCAAATCATGAAGATGTTTGGATAAAACCTAAAGTACCAATAGGTAGAGTAGAAGATGTTGATGAAATTGACAAAAGTAAGCTCAATGAGTGTCATATAGGAATTGTAGAACAGAGTGTAGTTGTTGGAAAATCTGATATTGTTGTCGGTGAAGAAGCTGATAATTTTTGGCCAGAGGGATTACCACCTCCTTCAATTAGTTTGAGCTCAAGTGAACGGTTGAAACTAAAGACACTTTTGAGTAGACATAGGTGTATATTTAGCAAGTCTTCCGATGATGTTGGGTATACAGACAGAGTACGCCATACTATTCCAACTACTGATGACAGACCAATACGTCTCCCACATAGAAGGGTACCACCTTCACTACAACCAGAAGTGAAAGAACATTTACAGAACTGGTTACTTAAAGGGATAATCAAGAAAAGTTCAAGTCCGTATGCATCCCAGGCTGTACTAGTGAGAAAGAAATACGGAGGGCTGAGGATATGCATAGACTATCGAGCGCTCAACAACAAAACCCAGAAGGATTCATATCCTCTACCAAGAATGAATGAAGCCTTAGAATGCATGTCAGGTGCAAAATACTTCAGTAGCTTGGATCTTTGTCAAGGATATATGCAGTGTGCTATGGATGAAAAAGACGCACATAAGACAGCTTTCCGTGTTGGGACTGGAGGATTGTATGAGTTCACGAGAATGCCGTTTGGTCTTTGCAACTCACCAGCAAGTTTTCAACGGTTAATGGATGCAATATTTGGTGACCAAACCTATGAAACCTTGATTATTTATCTCGACGACATCTTGGTTTATGCCGCTGATTTTGATCAAATGCTGGATCGACTGAGTTTGGTGTTCTCAAGGCTGGAAAAGGAAGGTCTTAAAGTGAAGCCATCCAAGTGTTTTCTTTTCCAAGATAAGGTAAAATTCTTAGGATATATAATTTCTTCCAAGGGTATTGAGACAGATCCAGAGAAAGTCAGGTGCATACAGGAGTGGAAAAGTCCAAAGAATCAGAAGGAGTTAAGATCATTTCTTGGGACAACAAATTTTTATCGACGATTTGTCGCTAACTATTCACGTATTGCAAATCCACTGAACAAAATGCTAGGGACAACAAATAAGACAGGACCTAAAAAGGAAGAAAATTTCAAATGGGATCACAAGTGTACTGAAGCATTTACTGTACTAAAAGAGAAGCTAATTACGGCTCCAATCCTTGGTTTTCCCGATTTTGAAAAATCCTTCTATCTGGAAACAGATGCATCTTTCAAGGGACTTGGGGCAGTACTGAGTCAGAAACAAGAGGGACGTACAGTCGTTATTGCCTACGCTAGCAGAAGCTTACATCCCAATGAACGTAACATGGAACGATACTCATCTATGAAGCTCGAGTTACTGGCTTTGAAATGGGCAATAACAGAAGCGTTTCGGGAGTATTTGATGTTTAATGAGTTCATTGTGGAAACAGACAATAACCCTTTAGTGTATCTGAAAACCACTGCCAAGCTAGGGGCGACTGAAACCAGATGGGTGTCCGAATTATCACAGTTCAATTTTGTCATCCAGTATAAATCAGGAAAGAAAAACACAGTAGCTGATGCCCTTAGTAGAATGCATGATGTGCCATCAGAAACAGATGTCCAACCATTCCTAGACAAGATGTCAGAAAGTACAAATGTACCGTTAGCCATTGCTGAGTGTAACACTGTAAAATCAGAAGACTTTACATCTAAGACTGAAGTGAAGGATGAGATGGAAGTAATTTCAACATTGCCTGAAATGGGATTGGTTGTCATGAGAACACATCAGGATAAGGACAAAGACATAAGTGATGTGAAGGAATGGATGTATAAACAGAAGGAGAAGCCAACATATGCTCAATTCAAAGATGAGTCAAAAGATGTAAAGAAAATCCTTCGTTGATGGGAACGACTTTCAATGGATAATGGCATATTGAAACGAGATGTTATCTACAATTCAGAGAAAGCTTCTCAAGTTATTCTTCCTGCATCACTTAGGGATACAGTACTCGCATCTCTTCATGACAGTGCGGGACACCAAGGAAGAGATAGGACACTAGCTTTGGTACAGTTACGATGTTATTGGCCCACGATGTATAGAGACATAGCAAAATATTGTGAGAAGTGCGAGCGATGTACAATGGCCAAATCAAAACCACCAATAGTCCGACCATACCGCACATCCTTGTTGGCAAGCCGACCACTGGATATCTTAGCCATTGATTTTGACAAGCTAGACAAATCAAGCAGTGGGAAGGAAGATGTGCTGGTGCTTACAGATGTATTTACCAAATTTTCACAGGCATTCCCAACAAAGGACCAGAGTGCAGTTACTGTTGCCAAGACTTTGGTGTCAAACTACTTCAATGTTTATGGTGTTCCTAAGAAGATACACTCAGATAGGGGAAGGAACTTCGAGAGTAATGTTGTAGCAGAGTTATGTAAGCTCTATGATATAAAGAAGACACGTACAACACCGTATTGGCCTCAGGGAAACGGACAGTGTGAGCGTTTTAATCGAACTATGCATGACCGACTTAAGACTCTTGCTGAGGAGAAAAAGAACAAGTGGCACCTGTATCTGTCAGAATTAGTATTTGCCTACAATGCCACACCACATTCAGCTACAGGTTTCTCTCCATACTACCTCTTCTTTGGTCGAGAGCCCCATCTGCCTGTAGATGTTGTTTTATTCCAAAAACAGGAGGATACAATGCCTTTGACTGAATGGGTCAGTAAACAACAAGTAAAACTCTTTACTGTCTTTAAGGTGGTCAATCTTAATCTGAAGAATGAAGCCCATAAACGACAAGAGCGACTCAATAAATGTGCCACAGATGAAGATATACCGTTGGGAGTACTGTGTTCCTCAAGAATAGATTTAGAGAGAGGCACAAAGTGAAAGACATGTGGAATCCCCTTCCTTACAAGATTATTAGGAGGATTAACCCTGATGGAAATGTTTATGAAATAACGCCTGTCGATGGTGGAAAAACACAAACAGTCAACAGAAGTAATCTGTTATACAAACAGCACTTGCAAGAACCAGTAGACGCTGTGAAGTCTGATAATGCTCTAGACTCACATGAGGAACAAGTAGACTCTGTGGGGTCAGATGAGACTTCTAGTGATTCATTATTTGGGATTCAGCCCATTACGGATTCTGATAGTGCAGGAACAAGTGAAGATTTCAAAAGTGAACAACAAAGGATTCACAGACCAATTATTCACAAGACACTTAATGTAGAAGATGAAGATGATCCATCGTCATCCTCTTCTTCAGATGTATCAGTAGTCAGTCTTAGACGAAGCAAGAGGCCAAATAAAGGGAGACATAAAAATCCGTATAACTTGCCAAGAAGCTGTTGCAATAAGTTGCAAGTACTTGAGCCTCAAGATAAGTTGAGTGTGTTAAAAGATGGTTTCACTAGACAATGCAACATCTTTGAGAATTATTGCGCAGCAATTACTAAACTAACATAGTAGTGTAAAGTTATTTGAAGTAAAACTTGAGTAGTAGTATAAAGTTAGTTGTGAACTCAGTTTGGTAGATGTCAAGTCACTGTAAGTCAAGTTGGTAAAAGTTAAGTCAATGATATCGGGACGATTCATAAGTAAAAGGGGGGCAAATGTGATAGTGCGGGAAATGTTTCCCGGGAATAGCGTATATGTAAAGGTCTTTTTGTACAGTGTTGGGCGGCCATGTTTAGTTTGCATCACATGTATTTTCAAATTCTGAATGAATTTTGAGACGATATCTGCATAAGCAGAGGTTGTACATGTATGTTATGATAAAGGAGTGTTTCTAGTCCTTAGTGACGTTGGAGAATAAAAACATTTAAAGCCGATACATATTCTTAGTTTTTGTGATTTCCCCACGTTCACATTATAAACACTGTTATCCATGAACACTTCAATCATTACCCCTAATCAATAATTTGAAAATGAAATAAAAATGTAATATTAAAGTAGAGGTACATTTGATCACTGATTGCTTTCTGAGAGAAAATTATACAAGCTAGGCAAAATTAATATTTCAGAAACTCTAAAATTATGCTCATATAGAAGTAAGGGAGAAGTTATGACTCAAATGACAAATCACCTTCTAGACCATTGGTACCATGCTACATTTTCCAAGAGACTATGTTTAATACTAGTAAATGGAAACTTACAATAACAAACACTGAAATTGTTTTAAAAACATAAAAATGCCTTTAATAGCTTTGTAATGCCATATCGCTGAAAGTCTTTTGATGGAATAAATAAAGATACAAGCATTATTTTTTTTTTTTGTGACATAAATGTAATTTATTTTAGTGATTCAGTATAATAAAATAAACTGTGAATTATTGAATACAATTTACTTATTTGTTGTTACAAGAAGATACATCATCTTATTCTATGACAAGTGAGGTTTCAGCAGACACATAACATCGGGATAAAGAATTGATATCTTGATATCTTGGAGGAGTGCAACATATACTGGGGTATATATATTATCTTCCGCTATATCTGCTGCTGTGTAACTCACCCCAAAGTATTCCTAGGAAAATATTTTGTGCAATGTAGAAAAAGCCAAGCCAATTTGTAAGAATATCCTGCAATTAGCATAACTGTCAAAATGGATCCACTAGATTTTTTCTTGACCAAAATGTTGATGGATTTCTCGAAAATAACGCGAATGAGAACACTTTGTAGAACTGTAGAACACTCTGGATATGAAAACTTCACTTGTGAAACCTTGCTTGTCTTAGGATAAATTAGTTATGTGATGCTCAGTTTTGAATATATGGTATCTCGGCCCATAGTAAAATATCTAGATCTCACTAAGGATACCTAAGATATCTAAGACCTCTCAAAGCATATGATGTTATTCCCTATTATTTAAACCAGTTCACATCTTATTTGTGGTTTAACTAACCTGATATGTAACAGTTATGTTAGATCAGCTATGGAAATGTAAGTTAAACCATAATAATAAGGAACTTCCATATATATTTTTGGTATCATATAGAAGACATGACAGAACTAGAACAAGGCTTTATAACATGCAAAATGTCATCACACTCTATTTGTTACAGACACTGACCACCAAACACCAACCGCAAAACACTATCCATAAAAAGGTGGAGACTATTAACAATTTTGGTAGTCTGATGGTGACATAAAAATCTGATCAAACATTATTTTATAAAAACACTCATCTAAAAGTCTAAGCCATGTAAGGACTGAAGGAGTATTTAAGTTATCAAAGATCACATTTAATTTTTTTCATGTAACATTGCAGCCATTTTGAAGATGTCCAAATTAAATTTCTTCACAAGTGTGGGCCATATTCCAATATATCATCTACAGGGTTGTCATTTTAAGAAATAACAAAAATACTTAAGGAATAGAGACCAAGATTTTATGATTCATGGCGTAATATATGACCGAAAGTTTTATTCTGTTCATTGTCAAGAGACCAAAGTCACAGAGCGATTGAGGTATTTGGCAATGGACAGAATAAAATTTGAGGTCATATATTTCTTATATATCATAAAATTGAGGTCTTTGTTACGATTCTAATATGATAATAAACAGAGACAAGAAACACAACTATTTGCAATTATGAATTTTAGTGGTAATACATACTCAAATATCAAATTTTGCTTCATAGCATAAGTTTAGGCTTTAAAAAGCTGATTTTTCTTTCCTATTTATGAATTTATTAATATAAAGATATTTGAGTCATTAAAGTTACATGGTGCTCTACTAAATTGTTAAATAAGTGAGAATAAAGAAATAAAGACCTCAGAGCAGGGGTAATACACCCCGCAGGGCTAGGCACAAACGTTTTCTGTATCCCGAACGACCGAGTGGAAGGGAGTGAGTGGTTCGAAAGCTTTTTTACCCAGCCCTAAGCTGCTAAGTGGTGTATTCGACGATATTACCCCTGCTCTAAGGTCTATATTACGATTTGAACATGAAAACTCACCAAAATGTTTTGAATATTCATGATTATGGTCCGCCATTACAACGATCCGCCATTATGACATCACACATTACAGGTATTACAAGGGGAATTCTTCACGATATTCCCCGGGTAAAATGTTGACTTTGTTTACAGTTTATAGAAGGCGTGAAAACAGTCATGTTCGAATTACTATCATGTTGTGAGGCATCACCATACAAAATATGAACCAAATCTGGCAACTGGTAGTTTATGGTGGCCATTCTACATCGCTCTCAAACCTTGTCGATGGGATAATATAATAAGATTCAACAGCATCATTTCAATATTTTTTCAAAGTTTTTGCACTGAACATCTGCAGTCCTGAAGGAGTTATCCCAGAACAAAGTGTAGCACTCATCCTGCTTTTCAGTCTTCACAACCCTCAAAAGTGAACGTCTGGATTTATTTTGTATGTTGCAGGACTAACATTGTAAAAGGTCCATGTGCAGTATGGCAAGTGATTTTAGACAGTCATATCTTTCACCATAAGTACCCCATGATAGTAAAATAGCAATCCAACTCTCTGAAAAACTATGGATTAGGACTCCACCTTGTCACTTTTTCAAAAATGTAAGGCTTTTTTTCTAAAACGAGAATCTTGTTTTTCTCAATTTATATATACCAAAAGTATCTTCTGCTCTATATTAACAACTTCTGAAAAGGGGATGTGTATCAGTGTATTGAAATGCGGTATAGTTAAATTGAAAGAAAAATATATTGTTTTAATAAAAACCACTGTATTTATGCCCAGGAAGTACTCATGGTGAAAGATATGACCGTCTAAAATCACTTGCCATACTGCACATGGATCTTCTAAGTGACTTTAATGACATCTTCACTGCATAATGGCATAACATTCCCCTTATTATGATTCTCTTATTCATCTCCCTTTCTCCATATGTCAAAATGGACCTGACATGGATCTGAAAAAATAAAAACAATTCAATACAACAGGAGTGTCTAAGGCACAAATATAGACATCGCCCAAACATGTGATGAAATAAATATGATTTTAATATGATACATGACGTCACAATAGCTAGAACAATTGATTTAGTGGTCTATATTGGAGTTTGTATGACCACTTTTACTTCTTAAAGGCAGAATGTCTATAGGGGGTGACAAAATTACAAGCAATGTGCATAATTGACCTACCAATCTATTGCTTACAATATCAAATACAATATATCCCAAAAGATTAACAATATGTTATAAATTGGTTAAGTTATTAATGATTCAAAGTGCAAGAATGGGTGAAAAATGTTTAAATTCTCCCAAATAATAAGAATGGTAACCATCTGACCATTAGGGTGTTTCATTTTTGGAATTTTTTTCTGATCAAGTTGCTATTCATACATTATGATCTATGGTTAGTAGGGGCTGTCCAAAAAATAATTTCAGCCAAATCGGTCCCCCTCAAGCCATCTTTATTTGACACATTTAGCATGAATACATTCGATTCAATCATGATACATGTACTAAATTGAAAACTGACATATAAAATAGGTTGAGTCCTATATTCTAGTAATAAATGAATTACAATGTCAAGTGACATTTGAAGATATTTTTAATGCATTGATTTGCTTTCTATTGATACATGTTTCTAACTTTATGCTCCAAAAAGATAAAATTGATGACGCTGACTTTCTTATATTTTTCCAGGGATAGGGAACTATAAAGTATTATTAAAAATATGAAATAGTACTTAGTCCTTATAATAGTTGCATTAAAATATCACAAATAGCAACGAGATGACTTTAGATTACTTGTTTGAGCTGTAAAAGCTGTCATCTTTTGCTTGAAGCTACAAATATAAAATAGATGAGACTAATAAAGTGTGTCGCAGATCAGAATTAACACAAACAGTTTGATATACCTGGATTCAGTTGTCATAAAATGTTGTATTATGGCTTCTTACATAAAATACATAAGAAGGCCTTTCTAAAGAGCCATTATACATCATTTTATGACTACTGAATCCAGAGATATCAAACTTTTTGTGTCAATTTTGATCCACTACACATCTTTTTATGGTCTCATCTTTTTTATATTTGTAGCTTCAAGCAAATGATGACAGCTTGTACGGTTCAAAGAAGGATTCTAATATCATTTCCATGCTATTTCTGATATTTTAATACAACTAATTATAATGACTAAGTACTATTTCATATTTTTAATAACACTTTATAGTGTTAGAAACATGTATCAATAGAAAGCAAATCAATGCAATCAAAACATCTTCAAATGTCACTTGACATTGTAATACATTTATTACTAGAATATAGGACTCCACCTATTTTATATGTCAGTTTTCAACTTAGTACATGTTTCATAATTGAATCTAATGTATTCATGCTAAATGTGTCAAATAAAGATGGCTTGAGGGGGTGAGGCAAACGATGTCCGATTTGGCTGAAATTTTTATTTGTGCGGTCCCTACTAACCATAGATCATAATGTATGAATAGCAACTTGATCAGAAAAAAACATTCCAAAAAATGAAACACCCTGGTAACCATTTTTATAGAAAAATAATACATTATTGTAAAAATCTTTCGTTTTCCTTGAATAAAGTATGTACTTTTGTGATTTTTAGGAAATAGACATGACAAGGAATGACATGAGCCAAAAATATTTGAAATTGAAACAATCGCTCTGTGATTTCTGTCTCTTGACAATGGACAGAATTAAATTTTCGGTCATATGTTACGCCATGAATCATAAAATCTTGGGACTTTATTCCTTAGTTATGGATCCCCTTGGTTAGATGCCAGTCATATAATTTAAAATGGGTTCTGAAGGTTTTACTCCAGTCCTAAAATATGGCTATGAATCCCCCA